CAAATAAAAAAATTGGATTTTCTCTACTCCAAGTGTGTTTTATTTTATTTTTCTTTTCTTTCGTTAAGCTGAATGTCATAAAGTTGCAATTAAGAATTTTGTTTCCTTTTGGTTGATATTCATGTTTTGTTCTTGCTACAAATCATTTTTTTTTTAATGGTTGTCGTGATTTGGTGATTTCCCCCAATTATGAATTCTGTGTTAAATGGGAAAGCTGAAATCTAGTTAACATGAGGAACTTGGGAATTAATCAATCTGTTTATTCAAAAATTGTTCTGTTCTTTGTTTATGTTGCTGTTCTTGGAATAGGTTAAAGAAATAAAAGGGTGTATAATAGTTTTTTCTCAAGTGCCTAGTAATTGTCAAGTTGTAGATCAAGTATATATTAATTGGAAATAAATAACAAGAAATATTGCACAGTATCTCATTTGTTAAGTATCTTTAGTATTTAGATGATAATGTATGTAGGGGATCCAGATTTTAATAAGTGAAATTTGACAATGGTTAAAAAAAAAATTGATATATATATACATATATGTATATTTTATTTGTTTTGCATTATTTTTTTCTCTTTTATTTGAATCTGTTTTTGTTATTATAAATTGAACATACCCAACATTGAAGTATGTGGTAACCATATTTATATGGACGTTGTGGGGTGCCAACATGTCAAAATTGATGGAGTCACCATCTATCCAAATGAGGTGGGATAGATCACCAAAGTCTATGTAGAAATTGACTAGGATCGGAGGGTTGGTTAAGCGTGGAGAAGGTATTAGGCATCCCATAGCTTCCATATAAAAATGGTTACCACATATTTTAATTTTGGGGAATTTTCAATTTTTATAAAAATTAATTACCAAAAATAAACCAAAAAAAATCACTTTCAAAAAAAAATCTATCATTATCTTTTATTTTTCTTCCTTTTCTGTTTTTCGTTTCTTTTTTTCCGTTTCCATGTTTTTCATTTTTTTTACGTTTCTATTTTTCTCGTTTTTTTTTTCATTTCTGGCTTTTTTTAATATATTTTTTTTGCACTTTTCCTCTCTTTTGTTTTTGTTTTTGTTTTTTCCTAATGCCTAAATCCACCTCATATTTCCTAAGAAAGTTTCTTTTTTATTCTTTATTTTTTCTTCTATCTAATGTATCTCTTAAGGTAAATAATAACAAATCCTAAAAAAACTTTATGAATAAAATGAAACTAACTTTTCCTAAAACTAAAAAGAAATTCTGCAAGTGATTACTTTGTATCACAGGAAATAAAAACTATTTCATAAATATCTATATCCTCACTCGAGCAAAAACTTTTAATGATAGACAAGTAACTAATTTAGTTAAAAATTCATTGGCATAATTCCTAACAATCATATATAGAATGTGGAAGGGGGGGGGGACAAGTGAAATCATGTTTGTGGCAAGGACACAACCAATAAACATATTCTTTCTCAAGATCAATTGTTGACAAACCATGAAAGAAACAATTCAAAAAGGAAACCAAGGAATTACTGATAACAAAAGAAAGGAAGAAAAAAGAAAAGAATATGACAAAAAAAAAAAAAAAACTAAGAAGAGAAAAAGAATTATAAACAATGCACACCTAAAGAAGATAGGAAAGATCAGACTTTATTTTCTTAAAGTTCCAGATACAAGCATACGTATTTCCCCTTCTTCCCTGCATTCTTTCTCTCTCTCGATCTCTCCAATTTTCTCTTTGGTTTTTTTCTCCTCTTTCAATTTTTGTTTTCTTTCTTTCTATCAACTCTCAGATTTCTCTCTCTCCCTCTTTTTTTTTTTTTTTGAATCCCCTCCTAAAACCAAAGGCCCCCCTATTATACAAAAACAGAGGAAACTCCAATCCTTTTCTAATTCTAGGTCCTAACCCAAATCTGTAATGTTACAAATAATAATTTAGCCTTATTCGGAATTGGAATTCTAAAAGTTGTTGTATCTATGATTTTGATGATTACAAAACACATTTGAATGACTAATTTGTTAATTTAAGTGTGTAGTTGAACTTTCAAAAGATTACAAAATTAAGTGAACTTGGGCTGCACTAAACTGAACCAAAAAGCCTATGAATTGTGTAGAGATCCAGCTCTAGAAATCTGCAACTGACTTTGGTGAACAAAATTGTAGAGAACTGATTTTAGAACCTACAGCTAGCTTTACAGGCGAAAGTTTTAAAACTTGCAGTTTGGCACACGTAGAAAATGGACGCAAAGTTGGCTATATCTTTGCAGCTGGCTGTGATGGCGCATTTAATTCCCAACAGTTGAGTTATTCAAAGAATATTTTAATCTTTTGAAGTTGGATTTCCTAAGTTGGCTTTATGTTTCTACAGTTGGCTCTTAAGAAAAATAGAATGTGCAAGAAGGCCGCAAAGCCAACTCTAGAATTCAAAGTCGACTATGAAAAACCAGCTTTGGAGTTAAAGTTGACTTTACTAACAAGTTTGTACCTCAAACTTACTTGATTTGTAGAGCCTTTAATGACCCCCAACAGCTACAAACGACTATTTTGGACCAAGAGGCTATAAATATGGTTGGTAGCAAACTTGGAATAAGTGTTTTGAGCATTGTATTGAATATCTTTTCCTACCAACTTATGCTTCAACTTGGGGTTCTGATCTTTGATTGATTTTTCCTTGTAATCTTCTTCTTGTTCTACTTGTGTGTTATTTTGGGGGTGTGATTATTCCTTCAAGAGTGATTTGTAGAGAGGATTATTGAGGTTTATCTTGTAAAGGGGTGAGATTTGAGAGAAATACCCTTCTTTTTATAAAAGGAATGAGGGGCTCCTTTAAGCCATCCTTGTTTTCTTAGTGGAGAGTGTGGAGGACATCCTTGGTGAGTGAAGCCAAGGTAGAAAACTAAGTTCCAAGTGGTTGGATTGAACCTTTATAAAATCATTATGCAAGCTCTTCTTCCTTACTCTCTCTTTAATTTTTGTTTGGTGGTTTCAAAGAGGTGAAAATTTTTGAACTCTAATTCAGCCCCCTTTTTGGAGTGCATTAAGCCAACAAAACTAACCTAGTTCTTTGCACATCTTCCCTCTTTCAAGGCTAGATTCATACCTCTTAAAGGTCAAGACTCCCAATTTGAATTGACTTCAAAAACTTCTTTTACGATTCTTGTCGAAGACATTTAATCTGGATATTTCTTCACATTGATGTAGTGATCTATCCAAACTCGAGTAGATTTAGTGATAAACCAAAAGAATTTGGGAATTTTGGGAGAATGGCCAGCTACAAAGGAAAAAGGAACAAAAGGAATCATGAAAATGAGGGCCAGGGTTCATCTAAACCCAACCCCTCTCTTTATTTTTTAGCCCATTGGGAAAACGATGTTGTTTCACCATTTCTTCCTCTTAGCCCTTCAAGCTTCCATTATTTGCAGAACGGTCCATTACCTTCTAATTTTATCATTTAGCCCCAATTAAAATTGGGTTATGACAGTTTCCCCCTCTTTACTTTTCTTTTCTTTTTGTAAAAAAAGAGTAAAGAATAAAAAAAAAACCCAATTTTAAGCTTTGAAAACAATGTATAAGTGAAAGTTGTGCTCTTCATCTTATCTTTTGTGAAATGCGATCTTCATTTTTTCTTTTTCTTGAGATGCAGTTTTCATCTGATCTTTTACGAGAAGCGGTCTTCATCTCTTCTTTTTCCTAAGATGCGATCTTCATCTCGGATGTGACTTCTAAGATGCGATCTTCATCTTATCTTTTGTGAGATGCAATCTTCATCTCTTTTTCTTCCTTAGATGTGGTATTTATTTAAGATGTGACTTGTAAGATGCAGTCTTCACCTCTTCTTCTTCCTAAGATGTGGTTTTCATCTAGGACGTGACTTCTAAGATGTGACCTTCATCTTATCTTTGGTGAGATACGGTTTTCATCTCTTCTTCTTCTTGAGATGTGGTCTTCATCTAGGACGTGACTTCTAAGATGTGGTCTTCATCTTATGTTTTGTGAGATGTAGTTTTCATATCTTGTTTTTCTTGAGATGCGGTCTTCATCTAGAATGTGACTTCTAAGATGTGGTCTTCATCTTATCTTTTTGCGAGATGCGGTCTTTATCTAGCATGTGACTTCTAAGATATGGTTTTAGTCTTATTTTTTATGAGATGTAATCTTCATCTCTTCTTCTGCCTGAGATGCAATCTTCATCTAGGACGTGACTTCTAAAATGCAATCTTCATCTTATTTTTTTGCGAGATGCGGTCTTCATCTCTTCTTTTGTCTAAGATGCAATCTTTATCTAGGATGTGATTTTTTAAGACGCAACTTTGTCTTTTCTTTTCTAAGATGCAACTTCATTTCTTCTTCTTCCTGAGATGCAACTTCATCTAGGATGTAATTTTCCAAGACACAACTTCGTCTCTTCTTTTTTTGAGATGTAAACTTAATCTCTTCTTCTTCTTGAGATGCAACTTTATCTACGATCCAAGATGCCAACCTCATCTTTTCTTTTCTTTTTTTTTGATGAAATCTTCATCTAGGATGTGATTTTCTAAGACCTATCTTTGTCTTTTCTTTTTTGAGACGCAACTTCATCTAGGATATAATTTTCCAAGAAGCGAACTTCGTCTCTTCTTTTCTGAGATGCAAACTTCATCTCTTCTTCTTTAACAATGATCTGTAATCAAATTACTATTTCTTCAAACCTCAATTATTTGTGTCTCTTGCCAATGTTCAATTCCATCTTGAACTTTCATCAATATCACAACTTTAAACCTTCAAGGCTCAAGAGATGAACAAGTGTCCTTTAGTGTCATCTTGAATCGTCATTAATCTTTTCCATCTTTGATGATACTTTAAATTTTGTGAACATGTGTGATTCACCCATACTATCATCAAGAATTCAATGCATTTACTCCTCAATTTTTTTTTCAAATGTTAATGCAAAAGTGATGATTTTTGAACCTTTCAAAGATGCTGAAATCAATGTCAAATTAACAATCATTGGTAAGATTAATGAAAAATCTTGTGAAGCATAATGGATTATATGAACAAATAATGTGATTTAACTTCCATGAGTAAAAATTGCCTATAATACAATTAAAATGCCCCTTTCATACCAATGTATACCAATGTATTTTCTTTCTCTCTCTTTCTCTCTCTCTCTCTCTCTCTCTCTCTCTCTCTCTCTTTCTCTCTCTTTTCTTTTTCAAAAGCAACTTCCAAAACACAAATTTCTTTTCTCACTCTTCACTTTTGAATCTTCCTCTCTTTTTTCCCTTTTTTTGTTCAAAAAGAAATTGATCCCATTTTCACAAAAGAGCAAATTCCTCAAGAATAGCTTTATTTTAAGGATTTCAAATGATAACAATCGTGAAAGTGCCAATGACTAATTTATTTTAAGGGTATCGACCCCTTAGGGACTTTCAGCAAGTAACGCCCCATCTTTATTTTTAATATATTTTTTTGTAGGTTACATGTTTATTTCAATTAAATTCTTTAAAATTCTATAAACACTCATTTAAAATAAATATCAAAAGGAAGGGAGCTTCGGACGCTGGTCACAGTCTTATTTCTGGAGATTAAATTAAAGGATTTATTAACAATAAAAAATTAAGGATTTTAATTTCTTGCAATTGAGTTTTATTTTTTTAATTATTTTAATCTATCATTTAATACTTTTATATTCATAATTATGATTTCAAGTTTTATTATTTTTATTATGAACTGATATAGCCAATTGAGGTTATGATGTAGCCTAATCAATTCAATATATGTTTTTGGGATTGCTATTTTATTATGAGTATATATTATTATTTTTAATACATTTTGATACTTGATCACCATTAAAATTGGTATAAAGAGTATAATTGAGATTGAGAGGAGTTTTTATGCAATAACTTCTAATAATATATATCATAAATTGAATTAATTTGTGCAATATTAGTAATAAGTGAACTTAATTTTTTACGTAAACTAAGGAATTTCATAGAATATAATGCATTTTTATCTATTTAAATTCACATAAAAATATAATGGGTTAATAGGTGAGGATATGTTTCATATAATTTGAAAAAATATATCGAATGGGATAAGAAATTCTACTGTCACATGAGTAATATCTTAAAAGTATATTAAAATTTATATTAGTTGGTTATGGTAAAGTCAGTAGTTTAGTAACATATATCTTAATTAGTTTTATTTGAATTATTTTTTATTATTTTTAATTAAATTTTTTTTGATCATTTAAATAAATCTATATTAATTGTTTTTAATTCTTAATTAATTACAATTTTTTAAAATTTGATACTTTTTTCATCATTATATTTTTTAAAGCAGTTTGTACACTTTTTAAATTGATTTTATCACGTTGATAATCACCATCTAGATCTTGAAATAAAGTACATCTAAAAGGGAATACATTTTACTTTACCAACAAAAATCTAAGCCCAAATTTAAGTACACTGGAAAGTTTGAAATTTTGGAATATTTTAGCACCAAATAGAACTTGAAAACAAACTAAGACATGAACAAGTATGAAAACAATAAAGGAAAAGCAAATTAATTTACCTCCAATCTTCTCCAAATCCACACACCCAAGAAGCTGTTCCTTCCACTTCCTTAAGCTCTCATCATCCTGCACCCACAAAATCCAACCAAAAACCATAAAACTTTATGTAGAAAGTACAACCAAATGAACCCATCTTGAAGATCAAAGTAATTTTGAACAGCAACCTTATATTTTTCAAGATGCTTTTTCAGAGTGCACTGAGGACCCAACTGCAAATTATTGGAGTGATCATCATCATCATCATCATCCTCTTCCTCAATTGTATAGAAAAGGGACTCGCTCACTTGACAGCCTAACATCTGCACAGCCTCATCATTTCTCTTTGGAGGATGTACTCTTGTTTTCTCCAAAACCTCAGAACCTTTCTCTCCATCCAAACCCATGATGTTGCAAGAACTCGCTACAGCTCCAACTCCTAAGGACATCAACTTATCAATAGTGGAAAGGAAAAAAGGAATCTCTTTTTTACCACAATAACACAACTAATTTCAGAAGAAAATCCACAAAGGAAATGTTGAAAATGAGAAGAAACACCAGAATGAAAGGAATTTTGGGAGGCTAGGATGAATATAATAATTAGAAAAGCAAAGAATTGTCTGGGTCCCTAAAACCAATGATAGAAAGAAAAGAATAAAAAACAAAAGAGAACTGGGTTTCTAATCTCCCAACTTTTGAGGTGGGTCATTGTTGAAAATCTGATAGAGAAATAGATGGATAGTCCATACTCTATAACAAAGGGAGTAGTTTTGAATTGGAAGATTGTTTGGGGATATTCTTTAATGGTAGATGGAAATATGTGGTGATTTATAACTATGTGAAAAGGCACTAACTACACAAACTTTGTTTGTTTGTTGGTTTTTTTTTCTTAAATAGTTAGTTATGGCCAAAAACCATGCTTCCTGCTCACCATATTAACTTCCAAAGTTTTGCCTTCACCTTTCAAAATAAGGATATTTGTCTTCCCACTTTTCAATTTGAGTAAATGAGGCAAAATTTAACGTCTCATGATCACGTGCAGTACATAGACGTTAGTCCTTTATTACCTATGCCATGTCAACACCACCTAGGCACTTATTTTATACATTAGCACTACTAGTTTAGCAAACAAGAGTCTTGTTTTACCTTTCAACTTACAATATATGGATTTTTTGTCCTCCAACTTATCAAGTTGAGAAAATTAGATAAGATTTAACATCCAATTGTCACATATAGCACATGGGATCATTTTTAAATGTTGGCAATGCAAACTTGGCAATGTGCCCCTTAATTTATAATGTATGAATTTTTACTCTTAACTTATTGATTTCACCATAGTTTTGAAAACCGGATTGATCGACTAGTCAGATCGGTTGAACCAACACCCGGTGGTATAAGCGGTTTGGGTGCACTCTTTAAACTGTTTGAATGGTTAAACCGCTTGAATGGTTAAATCACTTGAAACCGATAAAGACCGTTGAAACCACTCAAACCAGTAAACCGTTGGCATAAAATCTTGAGAAATTTGTCTCCCTTAAGGCTTGAACTCGCAATCTTGAAGCTATTGTTCCGATTCTTTGCCACTAGAACGATGCAATTCTTGTGTCAATTGATGTTTGGAATTTTATTTATCAACTAGTAATCTCAAAGCTTTTAACCAAATTATTGATGACAACCATGGGATTCAAACACCCATTCTCCATGATATAGAAAAAAGACTCTTCCACTTGAGACACAACCTACTATTTGCTATTTTTTTTGCTTTACAATATATTTATTCTATCTTTAAAACCACAATTATATGAAAGTTTGTTCGGCCTCGAACTTGTGATCTTTCAAATAAGAAATTAGCCACTTACCACTGCACCCAACCAACACTTTGTGAAATATTATGCAGAATAATATATTTATAGTAGTTTGATCAACTTGACGATTTTACTGGTTAGACCAATTAAATCGTTCAAACTGTGAACCAGAGGTCAAAATGGTTTGACCTCCGGTCCGGGTTTAAAAACATTGGATTTCACCTTAGAGCTCTATCACACGATAACATGTTAATACCACATAGGATCATTTTTACACATGGCGATGCCAACTTGGACCTACCCATCCATTTTTAACTTGAATCAATTGCACCTCCGTTCAATTTTAGTGGTCATAATTTGACTTTTTGACTTCTTAGATACAAATTTTAAATAAAAATTTAACAACATATATAAACAATAATTGAAAAGTTTTTTTCTTATATAAAATTCTTGTCAATTATTTTTATTTGATCATAAAAATCTTTAATTATCATTTATATAATTTGTTAAGATTTCATTTAAAATTCAAATCCATAAAGTCAAAAAGTCAAATTAAGATTACTAAAAATAAACGAAAGGAGTACTCTATTAGTTTATAACTAGTATTGCATGGGAAAATAATTTCAATTAGCATGGGGAAAAGATTGGGGATTCAATTACCAGATAATGAGGAAGAGGTACAATCTAGATTAGTGGAAGTTGAGGAATGGATAGGTGTTGGAGGGCAGGTTTGTAAGAAAATTAAGGGTTGGCGGTGTTGGTGAATTGTTGAGAGAACTTTTATTTTCAATGAAGATTGTTTCCTTTAATATTAATGGATTAGAAGAAATTTTGAAAAGGAAGGAAGTGAGGAAATTGGTGAGGTCAAAAAAGTCAGATTCATTGTTTCTACGTGAGACTAAATTGGAGGCAGTACATAATAGGTTGTGTAGACTGTTGTGGAACTTGGATCGATTTGGGTGGGCTATGAAGGAGTTGGTTAGTGCTACAGGAGGATTATTATGTGTTGGGGATATATTAAAATTTGTAAAGGACATAAAGTTTACTGGAGAGGGATACATTAGCATTTTGGGTGCTTGGGGTCCCGAGAGGAAAAGGTGTTACTTTGTGAATGTGTATGCACCTGATGACAGACAGAAAAAGTTAAAGTTGTGGGAAGAGCTTAGCCAAATGATCGTCAAGAAAAGTGGTCAGTGGATGCTCATTAGGGTTTCAATGTAGTTCAATGTTTAGAAGAAAAGAAAGGTAGGATCGGGGAGAATCCAAAGATAAAGGATTTTTAATTTCATTGAAATAATAGGCATGGTGGATGTATGATTGGTAAATCAAAGGTTAACATGGTATCGACCAAATGGGACTTTAATGAGCAGGTTAGACAGAGTCCTCTTAACTACAAAAATAAGCAATATGGCCAACGAATGGTAGCAGTAGGGTATTAAAAGATCTATCTTGGACCATTATGCCATAATTATGAAGTCAAGAAATGCAGATTGGGGTCCAAAACCATTTCAAGTGTTAGACACATGGCAATAGCATCCTAATTTCAAAAAATTTGTGGACAAGAAGTGGAACAAGATGAAGGTTGTGGGCTATGTAGGGTATATACGTAAATAGAAGCTGAAAAGTTTTAAAGGGATTTTTAAAAGTTGGAACCAAGAGGTGTTTAGGGATGTTGAAGCACAGTTTGAAAGAGCTACTAAATAGATAGAACAAGTGGATCTAAAGAATGAGAATTTTGAGTTAGTTGATTGGAAGGTGAGTCATAGAAAGGAAGGATTTCATAAGATATATGATATCATGAGGAAAAGGGAAGCAATATGGAAGCAGAATTCTAGAAGTCATTAGATTCGGTTAGGTGATGCTAACACTACCTATTTCCATAAAATAGCAAATGGAAGACGTGCTCAAAACAATATCACAAGAATAATGTTCAATGGTAGATGGGTTGAGGAGTCGAAAATGGTAAAGAAAGAGGTTGTCCAGTACTTTCATAATTTATTTTGAGCTAATTCATGGAGTCAACCAAGGCCAGGGGGTATATGATTTAAATAGATTTCTAAGGAGAATAAAGAGTGGCTTGAGAGACCATTTCAGTGGAAGAAATTGAAGAAGCTTTGAAGAGTTGTGAAGGGTCTAAAGCTCCGAGGCCGGATGAGTATAGTTTCAATTTTATCAAGGTTTTTTGGGATAGTTTAAACATTGATTTCATTGATTTTTTCATAGAATTTCACTAGAATAGAAGGTTCGTGAAATAGCTGAATTCATCTTTTTTAGCTTTGATTTGTAAAAAGTTAAGTCCTAGGCTTAGGGATTGAAGGCCAATATGCCTAATTGAGTGTTTGAATAAATTGTTGGCAAAGGTGTTAGCTAATCGACTCAAGTAGGTGATGTTAGGAATAATTGGTGATTCTCAATCTACTTTTATAAGAGGGCGTTAGTTGGTTGATGGTGTATTTGTCTTGAATGAAGTTGTTGATGTGGTTAATGTTGACTCAATGTACTCCAAGAGGGGGGGTGAATTGGAGTTCCAAAAATTCTCCCCTTTTTGCAACCACAAAACCAAAATTAAAGAGAGTA